CCGCGGCCGCGCAGCCGAGCCGAGCCGAGCCGAGCAGCCGAGCCGAGTCGAGCCGCACAGCCGAGCCGAGTACACCCGAGCACCCGAGCACCCGAGCACCCGAGCCAAACCGAGCAGCCGAGCCGCGCCGAGCCGAACAGCCGAGCGCAGCCGAGCAGCCGAGCCGAACCAAGTCGAGCAGCCGAGCCCAATCTAGCGGAGCAGCCGAGCCGAGGCGAGCCCGTGAAAGCGCTGCGGGCTGCAGCGAGGGATTCTAGTGGTGCCTGCACCAGCCAATCAGAAGCGGTGCCCGCCCCGCCCCCTCACATCCACCGCCCCACCTGCCTCTACCCGGCTCACCTAGGCCGCACTGAAGAGGCGAGGCTGGGGTGCCGCCCGGTTGGGCGCGGGCGGGGACAGGGCAGCCGCCTTGGGGAGACGGCGCTCCGAAGGGCTTTCCTGCCCCTCGCGGAGTGCTGCGTGCGGGGGTGGGGGTAACGCATGCAGGCTGGGATGCTGCACACTTGCACGGTGCCGCAGGAGAGATGGGTGTTGACTTCGGTTGGGGTGCTGCACGTGGGGGGTGCGGTATGCAGGCCGCGGCGCTGCACACCGCGGTGCCCAGCCGTGGCCGTGGCCGTGGCCCTCCTGAGGTGGTGCCTAGAAGCCATCCCCCAGCGCTCTTCCCACAAGAGGAAGGGACTGCATTGCCTGGCTATGCAACCTGAGACGGCGGCGCAGCAGGGCCGAGGAACTCACCCGGTCACACTCAGCCTCGGCGCCTCCCAGACCTCTGCTGCAGGTCTTTCCCCCTCGGGCTGGGCTTGGGCTGGGGAAAGAGGGACCCAAGATCCAGAGAAGCATCTGGAAGACCGGTGGACCTCATGTCCATCTGCAGAGCAGCCAGACCTGGAGAGACCCTGTGTTTCTGGCAGAAGAGCACTTGAGTTTCCTTAAGCTAGTGCTGCGGAGAGTTATGGGAGGGAGTGGAGGGAAGAAAGCCCAGGCCCTGCACATCCAGGGGTCCCAGCCTGTGGGCCCTAGGGCAGCAGCGGTGGCTGCTTGGTTTAAGGTCTACAACGAACCCTGGGTGCTGCATTCACCTACAGACCCTCTGCGGCACACTCTCCCTGCCCATGCCCAGCTGCCTGCCGCTCCTGCCGTCCTGGGTTGCAGGCGAGCCTGGAAATTCCCCAGATCCTCCTGCACCCCTGAGAAGGCCAGTGGAGAGTGGAGTGCTCCTTGGGCTGATTGTGTTTCCATCCCTCAGAACAAGGGTCCCCTCCTCGAGTCCCCCAGCACCGGCAATGCCAGGCAGGGCCCTGCCGGGGGTGGGGGGGTCACAGGCAGCCACAGTAGAGGGGCAGCGCTGGACTGCTGCTCGTGTGACTTAGCTGAATTTAAGGAGTGTTTGGGACCTTGGATAGAGAAATTATCCAGCAAGGAAGTCTGGCAGTAGGTAGGTCCATCTGCGCCGAGGGTGTGCAGGAGCCTGAGGTGTGGGGGCTCTGCAGGCCAAGGGGGGGCCCCTAGGAGACATCAGTGAGCTTGTGTGCTCAGCAGAGCAGTTGGCCTGCTGCCTCTCCGGGTCTGGTCACTGAACTCCTGCCTTCCAGCCTCTGCCCATTTGCAGTCCACCCTGCCCATCCCAGGTCCCTGGGCTTTCATTGGTTCTCTCTGGGTCTGTGCCACCCACAACCACTGGAGTCTCAGTCAGGGGCCTCTTCCAGACTCTCCAGGTACAGTGGTGTCTGCCTCAGCCTTCTGCCTTGGTTTCATGACCTGTGTCTAAATCACCACTGCCAGCGTCACCCCAGGTCCAGGGCCGTGGGACCTGCTCTCACCCACACCTGTCCTGTTGTATCTTTGCCTTCATGGCAGCCACCACATCTCCCTTCCTCCATCTTCGTGGAGTCAAGGGTACAACCCCTTATGGCCAGGCTCCTGGCAGCCAGTCCAGGGCCTGGTGCTGAGACACCCCAGAAGGGAAACACCGGGTCAGGGCGCAGCCCCGGATGCCACATTGGGTGGGGCCCTCTCAGTCAGTCACACTGTGGGAACAGAGTTAGAAAGAGCCCTGGCCCTCAAAGAGTCCAGGCCAAGAGGCCTCACTCACCAGTTAACCTTAGTGCTTTTAGAACTAGTGTGATATGTAACCATCATGACCTCGGTACCAACACCAGACAGGCCGAGACTACCTCTCATGAGCCTAGGCACAAAAATCCTTAACATTAGCAAGTTGATTCCATCAGGGCCGAGGATGTAGCTCAGCGGCACAGCACCTGCCTGGCAAGTGTGAGGCGCTGAGTTAGATTCCAGGTACCAAAAAAACACTGGTTTCAGTAACAAGCGGAACAAATACATGCAAGTCTGTGGGGCTTTTTGTAGGAATGGAACAAGTTAGTGAATGTTTCAAAACCATTTGATACAATTTACCCCATTAGCAGACTGAAGCAGAAAAACCATAGGATCATTTTGATAGGTAAAAAAAATTTGATAAAATGCAAGACCCATTCATGATAGAATTTCTCCATAAATAGTGATAGAAGGGAACCCTGCACAATGACGAAGGACACTACAGAGCCTAGCATGAACATCACAGAGGCAAGACCGGGCTTTGCTGCCAGCTAGGAGTAAGGTGAGAAAATCCACTGCCACCCTTCTGTGTGAACAGTGTTGGAGGACATGGCCAATGTAATTAGGCAAGGAAAACAAAAGTCATGCCAATGGGAAAGGAAAATTTAAATGTGCTTTGTTTGCAGGTAATTCCAGCACTCTGGGAGGCTGAGCAGGAGGATGAAAAGTTCGAGCACAACGTGGCCAGTGTAGTGACTTCATAATCCTGTCTCAAAATAAAAAATAAGAAAAGAGCTGGAGGTGTAGCTAGGTGTGAAAGCCCTAGAGTTGATCCCCAGTACAACAGCAACAACAACAAGTTAAATGAGTTTACCAAGCCACAGGATACAAACGCTTCCACCCCCCAAATCGGTTCTGTTCCTTTGTACTAACAATGGACAATTGAAATTGTAAAAATAATTCCATTTTTAAATCGAATTTTTTAAACACTGAATACTTAGGAGTAGATTTTATAAAGTATGCCTGAGACCTATACACAGAAACTGTAACATACCACTGAGAAAGAAGATAAGACTTAATTAAATGGAGAGTCACTCTGTCTCCCTGGATTCCTAGGCACAATACTGCTAAGCAGTTGTCTTCAAATTTATGGATTGAATACAGTTTCAATCAGAACCACAGCTAAACTTGGTTTATATATTTTGTTTTAGAAATCGACAGGCTCATTCTAAAATTTATAAATAACTACAAAAGACCTGGAAATGGCCGAACAGTTCTAAAGAAAAGCTAGTAGGCTTAAGCTGCCAGATTTCAAGTCTCATTGGGAAGCTACAGAAATTAAAACAGTATGGGGGGCCGGGGATTTAGCTCAGTGGTTCCGCCGCCTGCCTCACAAGCACAAGGTCCCGAGTTCGATCCCCAGTACAAAAAAAAAAAAAAAAAAAAAATTCTTGGGCCAGGGATTTAGCTCAATGGCACCGCCCCTGCCTTGCAAGCACAAGGTCCAGAGTTCAATCCCCGGTACCAAAAGCAAACAAACAAACAAAAAACAGCATGGTACTGGCTTACAGATAGACATATAGATTAAAGAATGAGCTTAGAGGCTAGAAATAAATTCTTTTTGGGGGTCGGTTTGAGACAGGGTCTCTGCATGTAGTCCAGGCTGGGCTCCAAACCATTACATACCCCAGGCTAGCCTCCAACTCTCGGCCACCCTCCTGCCTCAGTCTCCTGAACGCTGGGATTACAGATGTGCACCACCATGCCCGGCTTTAGAAATAAATTCTTACTCAATTTGTGGTGCTGGCCAATGAACCCATGGCCTTGGCACTGAGCTACATCCCAGCCCTGTTTTATTTTTTATTTTGAGACAGGGTCTCACTAAGTTGTCTAGGCTGGGCTCAACCTTTCAATCCTGCCTCAGCGTCCCAGAGCACTGGGATTACTTGTGTGCCACCACACTGGCTGACAATAGGTTTTCAGTGGGTGCTAAAATAATCCAATGGAAAAAAGGTTGACAGTTGCAACAAAAGATGCTGAAACAATTTGACACCCCATATGTAGAGAAAGAACCTCACCCTGCATACAAGTATCAGCTAGGTTAGCGAGCTAATGTTATTAAGTACTAACTACAAGTGATTTTTAGGCCCAAATATAAGAATTACAAATGTAAAACTTCTAGAAGAAAATGTAAGTAAAAATCTTTGTGTGCTTGGCTTAAGCAAAGATTTCTTGACTAAGTTGTAAAAAAGCACAGCCATAAAATAAAAGAAAAATAGTAAATTGGACTTCATCAAAATTAGAAACGTGTTTCAGAAGACATTGTTAACAGAATGAAAAGCCACAAATTGAAATAAAATAGTTGCAAAATTATATCTCTAATAGGAAACCTGTATCTAGGATATATAGAGTATTCTCATAACTCAGAAGTAAGACAACTGGACAAAAAATTGGACAAAACACTTCAAGAAGGGACATGGATGGGGAATAAACATGTGAAGAATGCACCTTTAGTCATCAGATGCAAAACAGAGAAAGAGCAAGGAAATGAGGCTGCTCAGCCGCCCGGTGCCGAGCACCAGAACCCTGACTCCTGCGGGGCTGGACTCCCCAAAAGGCGTG